GACTCTCAAGTTGAGTATAGTTGAACTAGATGTACTATTTATCTAATAAAATTGGTACAGAATTTGCAATTAGTCGTTTATACTTTAAAGCAATTATACTAAAAGAATCTGGCAAAAAATGATCTTCACAAAGATAGCGAATTTTATTATCTAAAATTAAATTTAAATTCTTAAACCAGTTATTGTGAATTTTAATATTGGAAGTAAAATAAAAAAAGATTTTATTTGATTAACCAGCTTGCTGAATATTAGAATATTACTTATTTAAACAATTAGGAGTTGACCAAGAATGTTTAGCTTTACCCGGACCATATATATATTAAAAAAGAATTGAAAATTGATCCAAAATTAAATTAATATTCTAGAAAACAATGATATAAACATAAGCCCTTAAACAAAATCTAACAGCTAATATTAAATTATGAATTGTTGATATATACTTACTAATTACATCAAATCAGCAGAGACTTATAATGTTATCAATCTCCAAAACCTTAATATAACTTATTTATAAAACTTACATCAAGAAATATCTTTTATTTATGGTATTTCGTCCTTTTCGTATTCCGCCATTCTGTTTTTTATTTTTTACGAATTTGTCAACACAGTTGTCAAACCTCTCTTTAAAATATCCCAGCAAAAGTATGGCCATTGTATGGCTGGTATAGAACTCAACAAATAACAAAATAAGATGCAGCTTTCATGAAAGTTTACGGAAATTGGCAACATTGCTTTCATCTTATTTGTGATGGTGGCTCCAGTGCCGTGTAATTAAACGGTTTATCTTACATATTAATTTATTTATGTTATTTACAAAATACTATCTTATTAAAGTTTGCAATATTTTGTCTAAGCGCTACTTTCACTCACTAAGCGTTAACTTGACTCACTGTACTATCAAACCCTTGCATATAATATACAGTGTGGAAAAGCCAAATGGAATAAATTCATTATTTCGATTACTGTACATATTTATAGAAAATCCCGAAACACGTCAAATTTAAATTATAAATTGACATTCTTTAAAGTGAAAATGTGATCCCTACCTTCAACCCCCTTTGAGTAACAATTACAACCCCTAATTTTTTAAATGGGAAGTATACCCAGACAACACACCAAATCCCAGAGATATCCACAGAATATCTTTTGTGGATATCCAATATATCCACAGGATATCAGAAATATTCCGTGGATCTAATATGGATATCCAAATGTCCGTCTATATCCATAATATAGAAGATATCCTAATGGATATTCAGCAAAATATCTATTGGGTATCTTCCAGAAAATACAAGTAATCACAGAGATATCCACAGAATATATTTTGTGGATATTCAATATATCCAATATATCCAATATGGATATCCAACCAAATGTCCGTCTATATCCCAGGATATAGAAGATATTCATATTCGAATATTCAGCAAAATATTTTATGTGTATCTTTAGTGGAGGTTCATAAGTAACCAATGATTATTAAATAACGTCGAAAGAAAATAGCAGAGATAAAAAATATTTTCAACACTCTGCCTTTGATTTTGCCCACTAAGTAGAAAGTCATCCTTATTAGGACTCTTCAGCAATAAATGAAAATTCTCGACTCCAGTCTCTAATGGAGTGATTAGGACACACATTTCGATCGAACTCAATTACAGCGGGTCGAGCATAAGTAGATACGATAGTGGTTTAGTTTTGTAAACAATATTTTTCACATAGCCCCATAAAAAAAGTCTAATGGGGTAAGATCAGGTGATCTTGCTGGCCATTCTATTGATCCTCGCCTCCCTATCCAGCGATTTAGAAATGTTATGTTGAGGTACTGGCGGACATTGATTTGGTAATGTGGAGGTGCTCCATCTTGCTGGAACCATATGGTATTTGCTGGAACTTGAGGGTTTCCTGGATCAGGAAATAAATTTGCCAAACTTGGCACCACATCATTTTGTAGTAGTGCTAAATAATTATCGCCATTCAAATTCCCCTCAATGAAAAAGGGACCAATAATATGGTTTTCAACAATCCCTGCCCAAAAATTAACCTTTTGAGGGCATTGTGTATGGACCTCTCTCATCCAGTGAGGATTTTCCGTTGACCTTTAGCGGCAATTTTGACGATTAGCATGACCGTTAACGGAAAAAGTGCACTCATCAGACGTTTTCTAATTGGATGATATTGTTATTCAACATTTTAATCAATTGTTCGCAAAAATTTGTTCTCCTATCAAAATCGTCTTCCATGAGTTCCTGAGTCGGTATCATTTTATAGGGATGCATTTTATTTTCATTTAATATGTTTAGTATCGATGTATTGCTGACATTAAATGTTGCAGATGCTTGTCTACTCGATGTATGTGGGTTTTCCTCAAACTCAAGCATTGGCAGCTGTTTTTTTCATCTTCTTCACATGTCCAAATTCGCGAAATTGCTTCTCTATTTTACTAATTGTACCTTGGGATATAGGCGGCAAATTCGGAAATGTTTCATGAAATAGGCGAGCAACTTCCATTTGTGTTCGGGTGTTATCTCCGTAACCAATCATCTGTAAAACTGTTATTTTATGCATTTCTGTTAATCTAACCATTTTTATGAAATTCAAACGACAATTATAATATTGACAATATCCTGCAGTTATAATTATTACAAACCAATTTGCTAAGGCGTTTTAAACAAACTAACATTGCTATGATAGTTTTTTAAAGGATTTTTTAAAATTGATATTAAAAAAGAACACTGATATGGTTTTTGCTTAGGTACTGTCTTATTATAAAGACTGAAACGGGAAATAGTAGTATAGGTACTCTAGAGAATTTCGGTAATAAGATGATTTTATTTTTTTTATGTTAATTTTTGCAATAAATTTAAAAACAATAACATTTTTGGATAGAGAATGAAGAGACCTTTCAAACGATATATCACAAGCTCATACTTCCCATTTAAAAATTAGGGGTTGTAACTGTTACTCAAAGGGGGTTGAAGGTAGGGATCACATTTTCACTTTAAAGAATGTCAATTTATAATTTAAATTTGACGTGTTTCGGGATTTTCTATAAATATGTACAGTAATCAAAATAATGAATTTATTCCATTTGGCTTTTCCACACTGTATATGTCAATCTTATGGTATTACAGAAATTATTTACAAAAAAAATAATTTGTACAAATACGCAAAGTAAAGTAAAGTAAACACCATTCACAAATATGAATTTCTTAATAATCTAACATATGCGTCACTTTCCAGACGAAAAATCTTGTGATGTAAGGGTTTCGTAGTACCCCCACTTTTAAAGTTTATTTTTGACTATTTTCAAAAGACAAAATATGTACGTGTAGGTAAGGGTTAAATCTATGCTGGTCTGGAACCATTTTTTCCAAATTCACTTTAGTTTTTTTTCTAAAAAAAATGAGAAAACTGCTAAAAAAGTTTATTTTGTATTTAAAAAAAAAAACCGAATCAAATTTTGAAAAAGTGTCTCCAGAGGAGCACAGATTTAACCGTTCTTTCTTCTAGAAAAAGTCAAAAATAAACTTTAAAAGTGGGGTAATACGAAACCCTTGCATTCTCTGCTCTAAAGCTAAGTAAATACTCCTCTTAATCCTGAAATTGTGACATGTTAATTTCATCTGTGATTTTATGTTTAGACTAAACTTTCATTTCATTTATTATCTTTTTTTTTTTTTTTTTTTGAGTGAGGGTAGCCATATGTGAGTAGTAGGGATTAAGTGTAAGGGGTTAAAGAAAAGGTCCTTTATTTCTCACAAGTCAATTTAATTGGCGACCGGTTTCGAAGCTGTCACTTCATCATCATCAAGACATCTATCTATCTAGATAGATGTCTTGAGAGTCTGATAATTTTTACTTTTTACTTTTATTAATTGACGTTATATCCTTAAAAAATTTTTAAACTGTTTGTGCTTGTAAAAACTATTTTGTGTTGTTTAGTTAATAATTGTCTTACATGTGTTTTAATTAATTTATTCAAACAGACATCTCGCGGTTTAACCTAACCTACAATATTTTTTTTTTAAAAAATACTATTGTATTACATATGACTTTTTTAACTCGTTTTGTTAAACTTTATGTAGCGCTTCCTTTATGGAAATAGTCAAGGTGTGCCTGATGATGAAGTGACAGCTTCGAAACCGGTCGCCAATTAAATTGACTTGTGAGAAATAAAGGACCTTTTCTTTAACCCCTTACACTTAATCATTTATTATCTTCCAATTCTCCTTGCTTACATTATTTTGTTTCAAGTATTGTTAAAGGTTTTATTTACAACCATATATGTAATGTTGTCATTACTAACATCATTGAAGGTTGGAAAGTGACACATTACACACCTCTACTTCCCGCCCTCACTTCCCGCCCTCATTTCATCTATTCTAGATGAATATTTTTTATATTTTAAAAAAATAACACATTTTTTTGACAAATTTTATAATACCTATTTAATGGCAAACAATAAAGAACAACAATGAACTAAAATACAACAAACTACTTATTGATATTTATTATTCGCGAATTTAATATACGGCTTCATCTGACATTTATTTATATTGGTGACAGTTGTTTACCCCGTAATCACAGTAACAATATATTTACTTAATGATTCTGAGAAAATCGCGTGCTTGGTATTTTGTCGTTAAATGTAATATTTTAGGTATGTTCAGAACGAAACAGAGATTTATTAACTTTGATCGAAATATGATGGTTGTAAATAAAATAGTATACAAACCTCGGTAGGAAGTTTCATTCCTGTCTCGAGATCATAGCTAACCTCGACGCTTCGCGTCTCGGTGATATAACTAATCTCACGAGAGGAATGAAACTCTTCCCACCTCGGTGTGTAATATACTATTTCTTTCATCTTTTAATTTATTTTGATAAATTTGAGTCTTTTGTATATACCTTTCAAATATGATTTTATAATTCGTAAATTTTTTACAATTTTGGATATATCACATAAAAATTGATGGTAGCAGTAAAATAAATTTAATTTCCAGGTATTTATGGCGTCCCCAAAAGATCGGCAACCCTACCAGTCATCGACAAATTCGATTCTACTTACTTCGGAATCCACGCTAAGCAAGCCAACTATATGGATCCCAGACAAAGATTACTTTTAGAAGCAGTTTTCGAAGCCATCATAGATGCTGGATATAATCCAAAGGACCTTAGAGGGTCCAAAACAGGTAAAACCAATAAATTAATAGAAAAAGGATAACAAATCAATCGTTTTTTCTTCTTTGATTTATTATCGCCCCCCTCCCAAACTCTCTCTAGGTTTTGTTACGACAATTTTATCGATAATCCTAATTTTCAATAAATTAATAACTAATTAAATCTTTCATTAAATCGACATTATAAATACGAATGTGTACGTTATTCAATTTGTTTGAATGGGATTTAATCATTATTAAACAATGGATATTCTTTATATGTGTGTAGCGTTATAATTTAAGTTTAGAAGGTCAAGTGTTAACACAATGGAATGTGTAGGTACTAAATGAATTTTATGGATTTCCTTGGATAGTGCCGAATATTTTCATGATTGTAAAGTTTATTAGGAGTTGAATATGCACTCTCTTCCAGAACTTATATGGCGTAGTAATAACCCAAAGACATTGATATAATTATTGTTCGATAATTGTTCAAAGTTTTCAGGATCTTCCTGTATATTTAATAATTTAAATTTATTCCTTTTAATAACACCTTAAGTAAATATTGGGAAGACGACCTTTTCTTAAAAATATAAATTTTTATAATTTAATGTAAGATATTTCCGAATGTCACAATATGTGGGTAAATTCTTATCAGAGAAAAATGGTTAGTATAGTAAAATGCACAAGTATAATAGGTTTAGAAACAGTGAAAAGTTATATATTTTTTATTTTAGCATGAATTTGCTCTAACCACTTTGAGGAAAGTAGCTGTGATATTTCTCTTAAATATAGACGCAAAAAAAAGAAAAGTAAAATCCACCAGGTACATAGGGCCTCATTAAGCAGAGAAAAGAAATATATATTTTAAAATTTTAGCTGATAAAACAGTAGTTTCATGTCCCAATACAAAGGTCCCTTTTGAAGTAATACTGTTCATGAGCAGGACACGAACACATATAGGAATAAGGTACACGAACAAAAAAATTGGTTTTGCGTATTTTCAAAGAAAACTTGACAAAAAAATGTTTAAACTTACCAAATAAAAAGTAATTTTTTGTGTACGTACTTTTTATAAATAAATATTTTGCTTCTACACACTTACTACTGAGGCCCTTCCTATGGGGCCTCAGTATTGCATTCGTGCAGAAGAAAAAAAATTTCTTACCCCCATTTTATAAAACTTTTTTTTTTCACGTTTCCGATCAATCTGAATCCGAAAATGCAAAAAAAAAATTTTGTCTGGTCGTCTGGGTGTATGTATGCCGGTACGATAACTCTGGAACGAAAGTTCTGATTGAATTGCGGTTTTGATTTTCTTGAATAATTGCTTCTTACTTAGAACCCTATTGATTTTCAGACTTTTCGATTCATTCTAACTACTTTAATATCAGTTTGCTTAAAATCCGCCTATGCATTTCTTATGTGACTAATTTTACAAATTTCACGCATTCCTAACGTCTAAAATTCCTAACATTCTTAACATTCCATACATTGCATTCTCCAACGACCTATCAAACAACAGCTGTTGATTGTAAAAGTGAGATTTCTAAGGCGTGTTGCGACCTTCATACTTGCAACCATAGCCATTTTGGAGGCTATTTTTATTTGAAATTAGTCGCCAAGCCTGTCAATTTATGAAAAATATATATAAGCAGTTTCTTAAAAATGACTTTTTTTATGGTGGTGCTAACTTAAGGTTACTACTATTTCGCCCCTAGTTACAAAAACACCTTCATTAAATTTACTGGCTCTCTGTCGCAACCCCATAGAATAATTAACTGGCCATTTTATTTGGCAAAAATTAAGTACCAAGATGTCAACTGAGATGTGTGAATGGATCTTAAATGTCAAATTATTTAAAAATGTATGCTTTTTTTGATATTTATTGCAAATAATTTGTAGTGTATCTCAATTCTGGCTTTCCATAAATAAAGCTACAGCAAGACCTCAGTATAAGTAATAATACAGTAGCGACAGTTCATTGTTTATGAAAGTTTCACATTTTTCTGCGCATGTTCGCAAATAAGCGGCACATACGTCAAACTGGCATATGTGAATTGTCAATGGATTAATGGTAGTTGATTAGTTTTCATCTTTCATTTATTGTGTGATATTTTATTCAAACAGACAAATGGTGAAGATATATTGAAGTTACTTATTTTAGTGTAGAAACAAGCGGCAAAAATGTCAACTGTCAATAAAAATCTGACCACCCCGACATCAAAGGAGCCGACTCAAGCTGTCTCTACTGTATTATTAATAAAGTTGTTTTTTAGCCACCACATTGGTTTAAAATATTTTTTAAACCATATTTAAAGTGACGTCATGAATTAATAGATGGCAAAAATAGGGTGTTTTAAAAATATAATCTGCTGTCATATGACAAAATTTTTTTGATCGTATTTTTTTTGTTTTAATGATTGTTAAATCAGATGAAGGAAGATAAGTGTTTGATAGCGATTTTAAGTAAAAATTGAAGTGTTTTTAATAGGTACATTGGAATCTGAAACGTTATTATTTTATTTTTGGTATTTTTCTTGTCAATAAACATATGGTATCATATTTATTCCGTAGTTCCACAGATACGCGATTGTCTAACGATTATTTGCTGTAGATTTGTTGGGCTTTTCCAAAGTTCATCAACTGCCAAAGAACGTTTATTGCTTTTAAATATTTGCTGGCAAATTCAGAATCTGAAGCAAACTACGTAATTATTTTTGTAAAAAACGTACAATTGATAAGTAATCCTTTAACCTTACTTTAATTGAATTATTGTTTCATAATCAAGAGTAACCCATAGGTAGATCACATTGTCCAACTGTTTATGATGACCATAAATATTAATATTTGTATTAAAGCATTATAACCAATTAATGTATGAATATGAATCACATAATATATGTATGAAGTTATCAAAAATCAATAAAAATCAACAAAACGTCAAATATATCAAAATGTTCAATGATGGAACAGAGCAAAACAACATACAACAGCCACAATCAGAATCTCTTATGTATCAACCGTTATTGAACCATATGCCTCCGACTGGTTCAAAAATTCTAGCTTTGGTTTAAAATATTTCGTACGCGACGTCATAGTTGCATCACTAAAATTTAAACGGTTTAAAACAGTCGAAAATATTTTAAACCATACACTCGCTAAAAAATACCTTTATACTGGAGCAAGACATGTTCTTATAAAAAGCACTTTTTTATTATATAAAAGAGAGGTAGGATATAATGCTGGTTTTTTGTAGATAATTTTAATTATACGATTTCGGATTACATTAAGAGGTTGAAGTGCAATATCATAGAGTCCACATTATACCATATCGCAAAATCGATTCAACCAGTGAATTGTAAATAATAATAAGTAATAAATTTCCTCAATTCATTAAAGTTTAAAATGAGTCTTCTAACTTTGGTTGTTAATGACGTAGTGTGATCGAACCATTTCAAATTTCGATCAATTATGATACCGAGGTATTTTGTTGTGTTTTTCATTTTAATTATAAAGTTGTCATTTATTTGTATATTGAAAGAAGGCAGTGGTGGTTTGCCCGTAAGGGCACTTGGGCAGGTGCTCTAGTATAATAAACCAAAAAAAAATAAATAACTTACATATTTTATATTTTCCTCAATGCCTATTATTATGTTATTTAATATTGGCACGACACTGGACGATCGGGCGTTGAGCGACGTTCCGAAAATTTCGAAATGAAGTGGGCACAGGGCACAGTAAATGTGTGCCTTTGTTGTTTTCTCTCTCATTATGATGCGAAAAACAAGGACAACGACAATATCGCTTAGTAAGAGATGAACACATGCGATGGATTGTACGTCACAAGCGGGGCGCTATCCTTATCGTGACGTGCTGTACCTATGGCACAGATAACCTAGACCAGATACAAATGTACGCAGCGGCATCTTTACCGGCTCCCTCACAAAGCCGATGACGGTTTCAGCTTAAGGTGCGCGTTTGTTGGACCATGATAATAATTTATTTATTGTGATTACAAAAAAAAACGTTAGTTGGACCATTGGAATAGTTAAAAAATAAAACTACAAAGAAAAATAACTTTTTTTTATATAAAACAGTCAAAAATATGATGAAAAAAATCAATAATATTTAGAAATGGGACAAAATTTTAATTTTTCTTTTGGTTTTGTTTGACTTTTTCCAGGATTTCAAATCTCTGTTTGCATATTTAAGAGTATAAAAAATTCTGAGTCTTATAAATAATTTAATGGTGTACATTTTCGCAAATTGTTGGCAAGGACGACCAAATTCTATTTTGCTCATCTCAAAAAGGTATGCGTTGGAAATTCCAGGCTTAGTTGACAAACTATCAAAGAGAGATATAAATATTTTTTTTTAATAAAAAAATATAAAAGAGAAATTTTTCGCTAGGAGATTTTAAATTGCCAAACAACTTTTCTTTAGAGTCGTATGCTTTAAAATGCTCCTACACGATGGAATTTTACATCGAAGTGTGTCAATACTATTTATCTTTATAAAGAGGATTTGATTAAATGTCTCGAAGAAATTATGAACACAGAATTCGATAAAAAAAACTATTAATCAGACTAAATGGTTGATAAATTTTGAAAGACAGATTTTAGTTTCTGATTATTTTTCTTCGGCAAAATATTGCCAAATTGCGATATACTTTTTGATCAACTGCAGAGTAGACAGCTCGATGCTCTCAAGGTTAAGATAAACATATCAAATTTAGCAGCAGTTATTCAAAATATTAAAAATAATATAGACACGCTAATTCATAAAGAATGGCAATCACAACAAGACCCACAAGAACTAAACTTAAACGACATTATCCAATCAGGTCCAAGCAAGAAGAGACGGTTTGTTGAAAAGGAGGACCCCATTCCTAATTTAAGGATATGTAAGGAAATTTGTGATATAATAGTAGTGCAGGTAAATGAATGTCTTAGTTTTACTACCCACCTAACAATTGCAAGTTTATTTGATAGTGAAAAATTTCAAGACTACCGAGGTTTTCCAAATAAGGA